AAGTTCCCCACGGTAGTGATCACTTGCCGATCAAAGTTTCAGTTGCCAGTGGGTTCAATCCGTCGGAACCCGTTAACGTCGCGTACGATCTTACCCGTAATATCGATTGGACAAAGTTCAAGAATGTGATAGAAGATGCCCTTACGTCGGTAGAAGGGCTTCCACCGTTGGAGGAATATAACTTCCTCTCCAATCTGATCTTGGACAGCGCACTTCAAGCTCAAACTCGGCCGGTTCCAGGAACGTCTTTCCGTAGCAAACCTCCTTCCCCTTGGTGGGACCAGCAATGCACTGAGGTTTATCGTAAAAAGTCCGACGCGTTTAAGCTTTTCCGGAAACGTGGAACCCCCGTACATTTCGAAGCGTACTCGGCTCTTGAACGCGAACTCAAGAGCCTCATCAAAGCCAAGAAACGCGGATACTGGCGGCATTATTATTATTTAGCTTTATTTAGGAGGCTTTCAGCCTTAGGCTGGTTCGCCTCCATGTACTGGCGGCAATTCGTGGACGGATTATCGCGCGAAACGTCGATGAATACGCTTTGGAATGCGGTGTGAAGGATGCGTAACCAGTCTTCACACAACGAGAGTGAGGAGTACTCGGATAGTTGGATTCTTAAGTTCGCGCGAAAAGTATGTCCTGATTCTGTGTCGGCACAGATGATTCCTCGCGAAACGACGAATTCGGTAGACGAGATCAGCCAGCCTTTTTCAATGCTGGAACTCTCACTCGCGCTCCTTTCGTGTGGCAATTCGGCTCCGGGGGCTGATAAAATCAAGTTCAACTTGTTGAAGAACCTCCCAGACGTCGCTAAGAGGCGCATGTTGAACTTGTTTGGTCAGTTCCTGGAGCTTAATATTGTTCCGGATGATTGGAGACGGGTGAGATTTATAGCCATTAAAAAGCCTGGAAAACCCGCGTCAGATCATAACTCGTATCGTCCCATCGCGATGTTATCGTGCATTCGAAAATTGTTGGAGAAAATGATCCTTTTTCGCCTCGACAAATGGGTTGAGTTGAACCACCTACTCTCAGATACTCAATTTGGTTTCCGTAGGGGCAAGGGAACGAACGACTGTCTCGCGTTGCTTTCCACTGAAATTCAGTTGGCTTTTGCTAAAAAAGAGCAAATGGCTTCTGTGTTCTTGGATATTAAGGGGGCTTTTGATTCAGTATCGGTTGAAGTCCTTTCAGACAAACTCCACGCTTGTGGCCTTTCTCCATTAATTATTAACTTTTTGTACAATTTGCTGTCAGAGAAACATATGAGCTTTTCTCATGGAAACTCTACAGCTTCACGATTTAGCTACATGGGCCTCCCCCAGGGCTCATGTTTAAGCCCCCTTCTGTATAATTTCTACGTCAGAGAAATTGACAATTGTCTAAGGGACAACTGCACGTTGAGACAACTTGCAGATGACGGAGTAGTGTCTATGACAGGACCCAGAGAGGCCGACCTGCAAGGACCCTTACAGGATACCTTAGACAATTTGTCTACTTGGGCTATCCAGCTAGGTATCGAATTCTCCACGGAGAAAACTGAGTTGGTCGTTTTTTGTAGGAAGCATAACCCAGCGAAGCTTCAACTTTTGGGTAAACCGATCACTCATTCTATGTCTTTTAAATATCTCGGGGTCTGGTTCGATTCCAAATGCACCTGGAGATCCCACATTGAGTATCTGAAGCGGAAATGCCAACAAAGGATCAATTTTCTCCGAACAATTACCGGAACGTGGTGGGGAGCTCATCCGCAAGATCTTCTAACGTTGTACCGAACAACGATTTTATCGGCTTTAGAATACGGTAGTTTTGTTTCCAGTCGGCGGCTATAACTCACATCATCAAACTGGAACGTATCCAGTATCGTTGTCTTCGTATCGCGTTAGGATGCATGCACTCGACTCATACGATGAGTCTCGAAGTGTTAGCGGGCATGTTGCCACTCTCTGATCGGTTTTCGGAATTATCCCTCAGGCTCCTCACCCGTTGTGAAATTATGAACCCACTGGTGATTGCAAACTTTGAGAAGCTTCTTGAGCTAAACCCTCAAACTCGTTTTATGTCATTGTACTACGTGTACATAATACAGGATGTCAGCCCTTCGCAGCATAATCCCTATCGTGTTTGCTTCTCCGACTTCGACAGTTCTGTTCATTTTGATTTATCAATGACGCAAGAGATTCGCGGAATCCCAGAGCATCATCGTTCCATGATTACTCCGTCAATTTTCGCTGCAAAGTTTGGCCTAGTTGATTCCGCAAGATCGTTCTTCACAGATGGATCACTAATAGAGGCGTCCGCTGGTTTTGGTATTTATAACGAATTTCATAGCGCCTCTCGAATGCTTCAAGCTCCTTGTTCCGTATATGTTGCTGAGCTGGCGGCAATACATTGTACGCTAGAAACGATCGCCTCACTTGCACCAGATCATTATTTTATTTTTACGGATAGTCTCAGTTCTGTCGAGGCTATTCGCTCCATGAGGCCGGTAAAGCACTCCTCGTATTTTCTCATGAAAATACGAGAGCTTCTAAGTGCTTTATCTTTAAGATCTTTTGTCATCACCTTTGCATGGGTCCCATCTCATTGCTCGATTCCGGGCAATGAGAAGGCGGACTCGCTTGCAAAGGTGGGCGCTATGGAAGGCGATATTTACGATCGACAAATCGTCTACGACGAATTTTTCTTCATTTATCGTCAACAGTCGCTCGCCAGCTGGCAAAATAAATGGAGTGAAGGAAGTTTGGGACGATGGCTATTCTCGATCATCCCTAAGGTGTCGAAGAGTCCTTGGTTCAAGGGGTTGGATGTGGGTCGAGACTTCATTCGTCTGATGTCTCGCCTCATGTCCAATCACTATTCGTTAAACGCTCACTTGTTTCGTGTTGGGCTGGGAGACAGCAATCTCTGTGAATGTGGACAAGGTTACCAGGACGCAGATCACATTATTTGGTCATGTGCTGAGCACCGTGGAGTCAGATCCGAGTTGTACGATTCCCTTTGGGCTCGAGGTAGACAACCTAATGTTCCAGTTCGGGATATTTTGGCTAGACGCGATCTGGAGTTTATGCAACTCATATATGTTTTCTTGAAGAATATTAACCATAGATTGTAAGTTTGATTAACCTTGTGTTTAGTTTGTGTTTTGCATGTGTGTGTGTATTTTTTTTTTTTTTTTTTTTGTAGATTTGTTTCTGTAATAATTGTGTAATTACAGAGTTGATATAACGTCGATAGGATTGAGTATATGTTTTAGAAATAGTGACATTTTTGAAGCATAAATCATATTCCAAATCTCCTTTTCCCTCTCCCGATCCAAACAATTGTCATCCACTAACTTTGAGAAGACCGCGAGTAATCGGTTCCAATCCTTTAATTTTAGATTTAAGACATTTATAATGTATAAAGAAAATGATAACTTGGCTCTGTAAAGTTTATTCGATTGAGCCTGTACAAATAAAGTAACTAACAAAAAAAAATTATAAGAAAGGTATCATTGAAAATTATATTGTCAATTGTCATTCGGTGAAATATCTAAGAGACAACATGAGAACCTCTGTACAACCTCTAAACGTCTAAACTATCCTTAATCTATACTTGTTTGTTTGAAAATTTTCATACTTTAGTTCTTAATAAAACAAATGTGTGGCGAGCATGATATTTTTTGTGGGAATTAGCCTTCACAATATACTTTGGATTTGGTGAACATTTAAACGAGTTAGATCTACATAGGAAGACTGGATGAAATATTTATTAAAAAATTGCACCACCAAACTCAAACGGTTGCAAATTGATCGCTTAAATGTTTTGTGAAATTCAGATGAATTCCATTAATTTTGATTAAGGATTAAAATCATTTCCGTTCCCATTGGAAGCTACATGAAAACTATTTTCGGTGTAGCTATGAAAAACCTGTTCTATATTGCAATAATGTTTCAGAGCTAATTCAACGGACAAAGAAAGTAAACCAAGAGGATGAGCTATTTGTTAATCTTGAAATCGAAGATGGAGGAGGATTACTCAAATTTCTCTCTTTGTCGTAAATAACTAAAATTCCTAATCATTCCACATGGAATTCGTGAGTATTGATGGTCTGAAAGTGAGAATAACAATAACACACCAACATTTTTGGCTGTACGGCCAATGAGATCGGTCCAAATATGAGTTCAGTTTACTCATGAATCGCTAAAAGTCCAGAAACTCAGCGATGAGTAAATATAGTATGTCTGTGGAACACCTAAAAAAATGCCGGAAAATAAGGACCGGGAAAAACCTGAAAAGCTCATGAAAATTTACTCGGCGATAAGTTTCTGCATTTTTTGCGATTTTATGAGTAACATTAACTCAAATTTGGGTTAATCTCATTGGCCGTGTAGAGCGAAAGTGAGGATAACAAACTTCACACTTAAAAATGGGATTAAGCAAGTGTGCGAGTAATAAACGTCAGAAAGGCCAATGGGATATGGTGATGAGCTGGATTTGCTGGCGTTCCACCTTCCACCCACACCTACATTATGTTGCTATGGAAACAGAGAAGCCATACGGGTATCACGTGACATAACATTCGAAACACAGTATCCGTTTCTTTCTGGAGTTTGAATATTAAGAAGAACATCCCTTTTATCGTTTACTGACTGTTGGTATTGTTGACTCACACGTTCCGCTACCAACTTACGACATGCGGGAGGCGCACAGCTGCAGAAGAACGGCAAGGGTGAGTTTCGTCCTTGCTTTTCGTTTTCAATGTTCTGTTGCATTCTGGTTCTGTTCATAGATTACGCCGCATAGGGTTCGCCTTGAAAATTAAATCCACTTCAACGGGACGGCAGTAGAGTAATGCTCGGTTGATCCTTTTCGTGACGACGGCGACGACGCGATGCAAAGATGATGGTGTGTGTTCTATGATCAGATGGTCTGCAACAACAGCACTGCGACTGCTGCGATGCGATCGCAGTAGGCATTTTTCTGTTTATAGTTTAAATTTCGGTTTTTAACGCAGCAATGTTGGAATTACAATGCTTACCAGTTGAGGTAATTTTTAACTGTAATCAGCGGAAAATAGTGTTAAAATTTTCCATACTTACAGGTACTGTGCAACATATTTGACAAGTTAACTGGCTGGGAACGACGGTCACTGTATCTGGTGTGCAGAAGTTGGTACGAAATTTTGACAATCAAACATTTCATGCAACGGCGAACGCTCAGAGTGAATCCCGAAAGTGTAGAACTGTTAGAAAGTTGTGAAAAATTTCCGTGCATCAGTATTCGCGATAACGATTCTAGTCCAAATTCTGTGAGCCGGAGGAATTTTTTGGATTCGCTTCGAAGGGTGTTATTTTGTGAAGAGGTCATCGATCATCTGGAGGAGCTGACGCTCAAGGAAGTCCAAGGCGATCTGCTGCAGGAGTTGTTTGGTGAGGGCTATGGCGAAACGTGTCGGCTGCCAAATTTGAAAAGTTTGACCATTTGTTGTTTTGAGTTTTGTGAAGTGTCGCAGATTCGGGTGTGGAACATTTCGAGGCATCTAACGAAATTGCACATAACTATTAGTAAATATGAGGAGCTGCGGGTGGTTGCTAGTGTAGCTGAGCAACTCGTGGAACTGTTTGTGGAATCCAACAAGTTGCGACTGCTTCTTGAGTGTTGTGATATCTCTGATTTTGAAAAGCTACGAACACTGAAACTGAAATCAGATTCATTTTTTCCGGAACGGTTTTCCAGTCCCAGTGAAATTGGCGGGAAATTCGCAAGAACCTTAGGTCGGTTGAAGAATCTTGGCATTGGATTTCGGCACAATGATTTCTTGCTCGGGTATGCACCGATGTTTCGGCGCTGCCGAAGCCTGCAATCCCTTTCGATTGTGGGGGCTGATTTGTGCCTGGACGCTTGTAACGCCATTGCAAGCCTACACGCTCTGAGGGTAAGTGTATTTTGACCCAACAGGACTCATTTCACCAACAAAGAGTGCTTGCACAAATTTGATTTTAGAAATTAGAGCTTCTGCTGCGAATCGAAAAGGACCACAATCTGAAACCGTGGAATTTACTAAATTTAGAGATCCTTCACACGTACGTAGAGAACCTAGCACCCCTGGGAGACAATTTACCTTCACTGAGCACGATACGGATCTCGAATCACACCATCAGAGAAGGACGATTCAGCGTTCGACCCTCCGAGAGGGCATACGTGAGTACCGTCATTCTCACCGATTATAACTTTTCAACAAACTATCCCAAATGCTCTATTTAACAGTTGCAGCGATACTTCAACCACTTTGAGTCCATCACCAAACTATTCCTTTACGATGTCTACCTCGAGGAAGACTTACTGTACCAGTTCCCGAACATGGCAGCAGTTAAGGAAATCATCCTGCGCTGCGTTAGAACAGTAAGTTCCTTGCTCTATGCCATTCCTTTCTTTATAAATCCAAAATCTACTTAGAGCTCACTCGTCCTGGATATCATCTACGAGCGGGCGCCCCGGGTCTTCAAGGTCTACTTTTGGGATTGCTGCTTTCTGGTGAGCCCTCGGGCCAAAATTCCATCCTTCGCTGCGCTGTGCCTCCTACTGCCACGGGCTTGCATCTCACATTCCAGTAGCAAGATCATTGCCGTGGATTACGAGCAGATTCTCTCCTGATGATTGCATCGCCCTTCGGTTCACTTTTTGTTACCATTCGACCTGTACCTTTTAGCAATAAATTTACCTAATATCGCCGATGATCGATTCCCTATACTCGAACGAACGAACGACCGAGCGAAAAAAAAATACATCTTTGTACAGTTATTCGTCCAGATCCGAAAGCCTTCAAACTGCTACTGTTCTGTCCGAGCTGAAAATTACTGATCATGGCATATTGATTAGAGGACCGTCGGTGAAAGAGTGAGAAAAAATGAAAACGCAAGCCGGTGGTATTATCGAAAAATTAGAAAATCAATCAAGGCCTGGAAGGCGTATTGCTTTTGATTGAAGCTAATTTAAATATTTATTAGGTGCGCCGCCGAAAGGACCAGTATACTGACACTAAAGCGAGACAAGAGCAGTGATGTCATATTCGCTTTTGAAATACATTTATAGGTTAAGTACCCGAAGAGGTGATTCCTGGCAACACTGCGTATGTTATCTACCAACACATCCGAAATAGCCGTTAAAAAAGTGTCCGAAAACTGCCTCATTCCAGCCAGTTTAACAAAAAATATCATCTCCAAAGCTTCCAAGTTACGCACGCTATGCTAACATCATTCTTGCTACAGTTTAGAGATCCCTCCACAAACTCCTCTGCTGACGTAGATGCCATGGTCGATATGCATAAATCATTTGGTAGAGCCTTCTTTCTACCATACCCTTCCATTTCACTCGCACATTACCATCGAGACGGGCACTGAAATTAATATCAACCAAAAAAAAAACCATCAAGCTTAGATCGATTTTGGCTGACGACGACGACGGGGAATGCAAATTAGAGAAGCTTTTGATTAGAAGGAAATGGCTATGCGCTTTCCGTGCCTCTCTGTAACAACAACCGACGGACACAGACAGACAGGTCTCACTCAGAAATGGAAATACCATCGACTGAAAACAGTAGGACAGCGTTTTGAAAATTATTTTGATAAATATGTCAGCCCGGGTCGATCCGATAATGGCCACATCATCGGGGCGAAGAAGGAGCGGAACCAGCGCCCAACAGTAGACAAGTACTCGATCATAACAATTTCCGCGTCTCTGGTGAGACGCGCTAAGATTGATGCGCTGCTGCTTCAACTATTACCCCTCTCGCAGAAGAAGGAGGTTGTGTCCCTTCTTCAACTTGGTCACTGAGGCTGCGTCATCATCATCATTATCGTTGGTTGAAGATCGCGTCTGCAAGAGGAAAAACAAAATCAAAATGACCCGTAGCGAAGCTCTGCACAGCAAAATACGGCGACAACGTGTATCACGGTAGCGATTTCAAATTAACGCTGCAGTGTGCAGTGCCCGCGCTCTTTAACAGTCATTGAGCGTCTTGAGGGTAATTTTTCACCGGCCACTGACTGGTCATCTGCTGCACAGTGAGCCATGGCTGTAAGCTGATGGCCATGATGGTATAGATTATTATTGGGTACATGAGGTTTTGCTACGCTCTTGGAAGATCATGAAAATGATGCAGCTTTCCTAATTGATTCAATCGAGTGCCAGCCTTCCGAAATATGTTTATATTTTTTACGTGAAGATTGTTAACTATAATTTCACGATATAATTTCGTTAATGTGGATAAAATTGCAATGCCCCAGAGTGCAAATTGTTCAATAACTTGAAAATTCTAGCACAAAGAGTTATTTATAAAGTATCATCCTTAAAATTTCGAAGTCTTCAAAACCTGTTTTTTTTTCGACATATTTTGAAGGGATTTTTGTAAACCTTAAAAAACGCTCAGATACTGCGTAGTTACTCAGATTTACTGTCCTGGCCGTCAGTGATGGATCGCTGTTTTCGTACTTTTCCATTACTTTTGAATATCGAATACATACGTTAAATTCAAAATTGATATTATTCACGCTATCCAAAATTCAGTAAAAACACAGAGTGTGGCTCTAACTCTAAGACCAGAAGGTCCCGAAGAAATGTGCTCAACTTTTTGGCTCAGCTCTGGTACTATCTTCGGTCCCAAGCTAATCGATGCATCCCTCGAAACACAGGAAAATCCACGAACCCCTATTTTTCTGTCAAACTTTAATAGCAAATCAAAACAAACATAGTGTAGTCACTGGCGTGCACAGGGTGGGGCAAGGTGAGGCAATTTCCCCACCTTTTAAAAATAAGATTTTTATTTCCACGTTTACAAAATTATGATCAAAAATAACTTTCTTGATAACTTGATTTGAAGGTAAAAAAATTTCATTTCATTATATAAGAGCACTGGAAACCTTTTAGTGCGTCAATTCCTTTGAGATGGTGCCTGAAAATTGCACCACAAAGGTACATGAAGGGACAAACTTCGATGAAATTTTTTTGGTTAAAGAATTGCACCACAGTGGTGCGTACAAAAAATTCTGGTGATTTTTTTTTTTTTTCAATGGTTTTCATGGAGGGTTAAAAGGAGAGGGTAAATTTAAGATTGAAAAAATTTCCCTCGTGGTGGTAAATCAAAGAAAAAGCTTTCTATTGAATATTTCTGGTGTAAAAATATCATAAAGGTGGTGCATGGAAAAATTGAATCACGCTAAAAATGTGGAGGTGCACATTTAACTGAAAATTTCTGGTGGAAAGTTCGCAACACTGTAGAAGTAGGTGGTGAATGCTGGTGCATAATTTGCATCGTTCTGATGAATGCAAGCTTCATTGAAAACTTATGGTGGAACATTTGCACCATTTTGGTGCATGAAGAGGCAAAGCCTGAAAATTGCCCCACAAAGGTGAATGGTGAAACAAACTTCACTGACAATTTTTGGTGCATGGAGGAGCATGCTTTATTGAAAATTTCTGGTACAAAATTTATATTGAAAATTTATGGTGGAAAATCTGCACCGTTCTGGTGAACGGATGAGCAAGCTTTTAGGAAAATCTTTGTTATTAAATTTGCATCCTTCTGCTGAATAGAGAAACAAACTTTAATAATAATTTCTGATTTAAAAATTTGCACCATTCTGATGATTGGAGGGAAACCGCTTTACTTAAAATTTATGATGAAAATTCTGAAAATATTTGTTGGAAAACCTGCAACATTCTGATGATAGGAGATGCAAGCTATTTAAAAATGTCTGGTGAAAATGGAAAAAGGAAATCTGCACCAAGCAGAAGATTGGAAAATCAATTTTTTTTTGAACATTAACGGTGGAAAATTTGCATCGTTCTGGTCAATTGAAATTTTCTGTTTTAAAATTATCTGGGGGCAAGTTTGTATTGAAAATTTCTGGTGTAAGATTTGCAACAATCTGCTACATGGAGGGGCAAGTTGAATTGAAAATTCCTTATGTAAAAATTGCACAGTTCTTGTAAATGGATGGGCAAGCTTTATTGAACATTTATGAGAAGAACCTCAAGGGTATTGAATTCTGAGGACAGTTCCGAAAGAAAAGATTTCTGGGGATGATTTCATGAAAATTCTGCGAATAATTTCTAGTGAATCCTGCAGATAGTTCCATGATAATTTTGAAAAGAAAACCGAGAGAACCCAATTTTGAATGAAATTCCAAAGGGATGTTGAGGAAAATTTCAATGGAATTTCAAGCTCATTCTGGGAAGAATTTCTGGAGGATACAGAGGAAATTTTTCAGAAACTTTGGGAAAATTTAAGTTCTAAGGTGTTCTGAGAAAAAAAAAAGTTCTAAAATATTCCGAAAAGAATTTCAAGGACAGTTCCAAAATATTTCTGGAGAGAATTCAAAGAAAATTCTGCGGATAATTACTAGTGCATCCAATCAATTTTGAAAGGAATACCGAAAAAATCAATTTTTGAGTGAAATTCCAAAGGGATTTTAAGCGAAATTTCAAGCGAATTCCGAGGATAATTTCTAGCTCATTCCGGGAAATTTTTTGAAACTCTAAAAGAATTTAAGTTCCAAGGTGTTATGAGAAAAAAATCATGAAGAGTTCTAAGTATAATATCCGTGGACTTCTGAGAAGAATTTCAAAAGATTTCTTAAAAAATCCGAGACGAACCTGAAGAATATTGCATTCTGAGGACAATCCTAAAAAAAAAATTGGGGAGTATTCCAAGAAAATTCTGCGGATAATTTCTAGTGAATCCTGCAGATAGTTCCAAAACTAATTCCAAAAAGAATACCGAGAAAATTAAAGTTTGAGTGTAATTCCAAAGGTATTTTGAGGAAAAGTGTAATTCCAAAGGGATTTTGAGGCTGTCTGAAAGCAGTTTGCATTGCTGAAGATGAACCACCACCGGAGCAATTGCTAAAATTAGCTAAATTGAACAGTATGGAAACAGTGGTGAACAGCTAAATTGAACAGTATGGAAACAGATTAAATGCATCATAGAAAAAAAAATGCCCCTCCTTAACAAGATTCCTGTGCACGCTAGTGAGTGTAGTACTAGAATTTCAACTGGAATGGGGTACGTTAATCGATTTGCTTGGGACCAATAGGCTAGTCAAGTAGTGAGCCAATTTAAAATCGTTAATTTCCACCGGTTGGCTCTACGGTGAAGAAATTTTTCAATTTGATAGGGAGATTAATAGCATTAAACCAACCGTTCTGCACTCGTGTTTTTTTTAGTTACCGTTAGGACGTCATTTGTGATTAACCCCAGTCCCTTTCAAAGTGTCTCATTATTTATGAACGGCCCTTATATTTGACATTGACGGTGGATGTCAAAATTAAGTTTCACATTCATCTAAGAGTGTCCGATTTTTATTCGATTAATCGATTAACGAAACGAAAAATCCAATATTTGTAATTGGTTATATCATGCAGAATAAGCATTAACATCTCCACAGGATCATCACTCATCGTTTCAAACATGTTATGCACTTTCATTGTTGGAAAATGTCGAGTAATCACAAATGAGACAGCACTGATTTTTGATGTGATTGTTATGATAAAAAAAAGCGCAAATCGTCAACTCTACTGAGAAGGCAACATTGTGTGTGTGTGTCATCTTCTATCCCTCACCCAGTCGGGGCCGTTGGACAAGTAGAACTGCGAATAATTTGATCAAATCTCATGCTCCGTAATGGCATAGAGGTATCTCTAAGA